TTTTTTTTTTTGTTTGGAATTAATTTGAAATTTGAATTACCTTAATGTACATACATATATTACTAGCGCATAAGGGTTAGCTTCTGAATAGTACCACTTCTTTATTCCCTGAATTTCACTGATACTTATACACACGTTTTTTTTTTACACTTTATCATAGCTTTCCTTTGTCTGCCTATGACTAACCCACGTCATTCATTTTACCTCGCTTTCATTGGAATTCCTTAGGTCTTTTGTTTGTGAATTCAATTCGCTTTCAAACACATGGTAAATTTTTCTTTAGGTTGATAGTACTTAAGTATGATTTTTTTTATTGATTTTTATTTTGAAAGGTTGAATTGCTACACATATTTGAACTTTTTCATCCATTACCATAATTTTTAGACCTTAATTTTTAAAGGAACTACGAGGTAGCACTTGTTGTGTTAATACTCGTTCGCGGTTCAACTAAATTAAATAGATTTGGAAGTTTAAGTTTAACTTCTTTTCAACAGTAATTTATTCGTATTAGGTTTTTTTTTTTCAATTGCACTAAATTGCCTCTAACTATTCCTTTTCATAATTTTCCTTTTTTTTAAGGTTACCATTGATGGCAGACCCGCTCGATGCCCGCCACCACGAGCGAGTGATCGAGGTGACAAAGATCACATCAATAGAACCCTTACTTTAGGTATATGAATGTATGTATGTAACTAGTAGCTTAAGCTCTCCCCATCCAAGGTCTCTTCGGCGTCGCTGGTACCCTGACAATTAAGTTTCTCCGTTTTTTTCATTTTTTTTATCTGTTTCTTACGATATAGGCAAATACAATAAAGAAAATAAGTGAAAACATATTATGAAACTAAGATTTGTATTTTTCGATAGGTGAAGGGTATATAGCATTGACACATTAAGTTAAACTTTTGGCAAATAAAATTAATCTTTTGGCAAATAAATTTAGTCTTTTGGCAAATAAATTTAATCTTTTGACAAATAAAATTAACCTTTTAAATTTAATCTTTTGGCAAATAAATTTAACCTTTTGGAAAATAAAATTAATCTTTTGGCAAATAAATTTAATCTTTTGGCAAATAAAATTAAACTCTACTATAGTACTAAACAGTGTTTGAAAAAGTAAATAAATAATATAAAAAAAACTTTTTAATATACAACGCTTTTATAA